ATGATGAAATTACTGATTTATGACTCAGAAAAAATGACAAAACTATTTAGTTCAATACAACAGATTTTTTATTTTATTTCGTCTTAAATCACAATAAAACAGAGAAACTCCACCATTCAGGCCGCCGCCTCAGAGCAGCACATGGCGACAGTGAGAAGGAAAAACTGTCCTGTAACAGGAAACCTGCGGCAGAACCAGGCTCAGGAAGTGTGAAGCGCTTCTGCAAAGGAAGCAGAAAAAGACAAAAACGCCTCAAACATCTTCACTGATAACCACCGTCAATGGCAACTTTCGTGCCGTGCTCCGTCCTCTCCGTGGTTTGGTCAGCATAGACCTGAATCACAGCCGATCAGGTCATTAAGTCTGACGTCACTAGCCGTGTCTGGGTCTAAACTCCACTGCAGGTCCATATATCAAACGATCACTATGGCATTACTGAGAGTTGAAAAACTGTCTGAAGTCTTTCATCTTTAATAAAATGATCAGCGTTCTGCTCTACCAGGTGTAACAATTGAGTTTAACATCCAGGCATCCATGAAAACGGAATTTATGACATTTAACGGAGTTAGAAGTTAGCAGGGAGTTAGCTCGCTAGCTTCTATCTAAATACAATATAGCATGTCCTGACTGCGGGGTTTTGGAAACAAATTCAAACGTACAGCTCTGCTATCACTTCCAGCATAAATGAAGACAGAAAACTAAACAGCAGTGACGTTTGTAGGGTTACTGAAGTTGGGCTAGCTGCTATATAATGATGTGCTACGTGACCGCTAGCAACACAGCTATGTTAGCATAATATAAACAAGCTAACTTTTTTTCCACTCGATAAAAGTTAACGTGAGTGTTCTCGGTGGTCAGGAACAAATGTAATCGCATGGCAGGATGCTGTAAAAGGACCAAACTTCAGCCAGGAGAACAACTGAGATAATCCATCCACAATACGAGGTTAGTCATTCATATACTGCTGCATGGGCTGGGCTGTAGTTACATCCTAAGGTTTTAAAAACTGAGCTTAAATAAATGATTAGCGGTAATAAAAGCCGAGGGAGGTCAACAGTGATCACTGACTGTTTTAGGAGCTTTTTGAGATCAAATAGAAGAAAATACAAAACATTAAACATGTTAACAACACAAAAGCCATATTAAACACAGACTACGCCGGACTGGGTGTCCAGACCACCTCATCCGGCTCATTTTCATTCCAAGGAGTCGCAGCTTCTCCGAGGCTGAGCCCTGCGACCTGTGGGGGAAACACCGCTGTGTTCCCTGTCACTGACTCATGACCACAGATAGGTAGGTGGAGCATCCTCTCTTCACCGCAGCCGCCCAGTTCGTCACTCTCGATACAAACAGGAAGTAGACACAGATCCTGATGCTGGTTCTGCAGGACATTTCTTCTTGTTAAATGGCACTTTTTCCTTCCCACTGTTGCCAAGTGCTTGCTCTGATCGTCAGAGTCTCTTTCCTACAACAATCAGCACCTCGAGGTGTCTGTTGTTGTAAACTGGGCCTTTATATCTGCAATTTAGTTGCACTGTTTGTAATATTTAAGTTTGAGCCAATAATCGTCGTTGCTCGAGTCCACGCACCCTTCAGAGGTAACTCAAGAGCATGATGGGATATATTGTCAAAGAAAATCCACGAACTGTGACTGAACACTTTAGTTTTATACAGTTTCACGTTCTTCTGGTGTGGTGACGGAAAAAAGGCACAAAAATTAAACATGACAATCGAGAGCTGAGGTCACGTTCCCGAGGAGCTCCTCGTCTGGTCTCCACATTTACATGAAGATCTACGAAATAAACGCACCTGTGTGTGTGTGTGTGTGTGTGTGTGTGTGTGTGTGTGTGTGTGTCAGCCTCCTGCAGGTGCCCCGACGTCACCTGTCAAAGTCAAGAGGAACTCTGGTCTAATTGAGAAAATCCAGGTGAGTCCAGCAGGTTTCTGCTGCCCCCAGCTGGTGTAAACATGCACCGACATCACTCTGACATCACTCTGACATCGTTCTGACATCGCTCTGACATCACTCTGACATCGTTCTGACATCGCTCTGACATCACTTTGCAGGCTGAACTCGTGCTCTCGCCCACGGGTCCTCCTATGAAGAGCCCTGGCATCAGGATGCTGCCTCTCAACTTCCCCCTGCCCTCCCCTGGCTCCGCCCCACCTGCTACCTCAGTAACCACCTCGTCCTCAGCAACCCCCACCAGCCCAGTCACCTCTCCTGTAACTGAAACGGAAGGCCCCGCCTCTTTTGAGGAACCTGCCACTGTGGCGGACGGATCGGTCCTGCAGAGCATCAACAAGGTGAGACCCCTCCAAGGCGTTCATGTGATGCATTCAGTGACCTGTAAATACCTGCGCCAGCCAGCCTAAACACTCAGTTGATCACCCTTTGGTTCTCCTCCAGGGCAGAGCTCGCCACTCCATCCGCCGCCGTCCGCCATCACGCCGCCACAGGACATCCAGCAGTGGAGAGGTGGAGGCCAAAGATGCATCAGACACACAGGTGAGCTCCACAACTGACCCCGCTGACAAAACTGCAGCAGGCGGCAAGCAGGACGGCGAGCAGGGCAGTGAGGGTGACGTGTTCAAGAAGGAGGATCAAACAGACGCCCCAACAGCTGCTGAGAAAAACCAAACTCACGAAGAGGAAGAGCCAAAGAGCGGCGACGGTGATGTGCAGGAGGGAGAGAAAGGGTCTGCAGAAGAAGAGGAGGAGGAGGCACCATCATCATCAGAGAAGAAGGAGGAGGAGCCGAGGTCGCCAGAGACGCAGAAACAGGACCCGACCGAAGACGCTACACTGACAGACGGCAAAGAAGAAGAACAGAGCGAGGTGAAGTACCTGTTCTCCTTCCAGAGTGACATCAGTGCAGTACTCTGTGTACTTTGTGTACATGTACTGAAAAACTGCAACGTTTCCCCCGCAGGAAGCAACAAGCTCAGCCCGATGAGGACCACGCGTCGACGAGCCCCTGGAGTGCTGGGAGAGAAACCCCGTATCAGCTACACCTGACTGAAGAGGCCTGCAGACGCTCAGGAGGCGAATATTTAGAAACTCTGAGGCGCCGCCCGCCATCTGCGAATGAGCGAAGACGCTCGGCCAATCGTGCGAAGGTCCAGCCGAGCTTGTTCGTTTCCACTCAACGCCTTTCCACACCACAACACTGCATTCTTCCTGTTTAGCCATATATACTGTGACCTGTCTGTTCTTACTGTGTGCTGCCTACCATGATGATGATGATGATGATGATAAATGGTTTGTGTCTGTGTTTAAAGCCACAGCTGTGAGGGAACCCTCGAAGCCTCGTTAGGTTTGACTGATTTCTGGGAACCTCCGAGGTTTTGATTGGATGGCGACACGCAGCCTGAGGAGGCGGTGACGTCACAAAGTGCTTCTGATGATGAAATTAAAATACTTTTGCTACCATAATGATGATCTGCTCTGTTTTATTTTATCTGGCAGTGCTCAAAGAAATAAAGAGTTGCTAATGACTTCTGATTTTTCCGTGACACAGCTGCAGCGCGATGACGAAGCTACCTGTCAGTCAAACAGGACACGCCCCTGATAATGCAAACTTATCAGGGGCGTTAAACACATGAAGGTGGATGTCAGCTGTACAAGTCTGGCCCACTGAGCTCTGGTGAAGCACAGAGTAGAAATTTGAGACTTTTAACTGTATTTTAAAAAGTTTTATCTTTACAAATAAAGACTCATCGTAGTCTCCAAATTAACAATATGGTAAATGGCCTGTATTTATATAGCGCTTTACTCGTCCCTAAGGACCCCAAAGCACTTTACATATCCAGTCATCCACCCATTCACACACACATTCACACACTGGTGATGGCAGCTACATCGTAGCCACACCCACCCTGGGGCGCACTGACAGAGGCGAGGCTGCCGGACACTGGCGCCACCGGGCCCTCTGACCACCACCAGTAGGCAACGGGTGAAGTGTCTTGCCCAAGGACACAACGACCGAGACTGTCCGAGCCGGGGCTCGAACCGGCAACCTTCCGAATACAAGGCGAACTCTCAACTCTTGAGCCACGACCGCCCGATAACCAATAGGTTAATCTATTACAATGGTACACAACGTGTGAGGAGGAAACAGTGGGAAGGAAAAACTCCCTTTTAACAGGAAGAAACCTCCGGCAGAACCAGGCTCAGGGAGGGGCGGGGCCATCTGCTGCGACCAATTGGGGTGAGAGAAGGAAGACAGGATAAAGACATGCTGTGGAAGAGAGACAGAGGTTAATAACAAGTATGATTCAATGCAGAGAGGTCTGTTAATACATAGTGAGTGAGAAAGGTGACTGGAAAGGAAATACTCAATGCATCATGGGAATCCCCAGCAGCCTACATCTATTGCAGCATAACTAAGGGAGGATTCAGGGTCACCTGGTCCAGCCCTAACTATATGCTTTAGCAAAAAGGAAAGTTTGAAGCCTAATCTTGAAAGTAGAGATAGTGTCTGTCTCCTGAATCCAAACTGGAAGCTGGTTCCACAGAAGAGGGGCCTGAAAACTGAAGGCTCTGCCTCCCATTCTACTTTTAAATACTCTAGGAACAACAAGTAGGCCTGCAGAGCGAGAGCGAAGTGCTCTAATAGGGTGATATGGTACTACAAGGTCATTAAGATAAGATGGAGCCTGATTATTTAAGACCTTGTATGTGAGGAGCAGGATTTTGAATTCTGGATTTAACAGGAAGCCAAAACAGGAGAAATATGCTCTCTCTTTCTAGTCCCTGTCAGGACTCTTGCTGCAGCATTTTGGATCAGCTGAAGGCTTTTCAGGGAGTTTTTAGGACTTCCTGATAATAATGACAAACTAATGGAACTTCGTACGCTCATTCAGCAGCAGGTAAAAACTTCCAAGGTCAAAACACAAGAAAAAAAAAATCCTCTCAAAATTTAGAGACATCATGAAATCACATCAGGTACGATGAGATGATGAACATGGCGTCCTGACCAACCTCAGTAAGACTCGGGCCAGATTTAATCTTCACATCTGAGCCTTCAGTGATGTGAAACAGTGTGACAACGTGAAGCAGGCCAAAGATCTCAGACACTTCCTGCTGTAAAGAAGCACCAGAGTCAGTGACATCATCAGTCTGACTCCAGTGATCCACAGTGGGAGAAAACCCACAGTGGGTGAACCTTCCCAGGAGTGACCGGCTGACCAAAATTACTCTTCAGAGAAGAACCCAGAAGAAGACCTGCAGGCTTCACATGTCTGAGCTAAGGTCAGAGGTCACGATTCAACAATAATAAAGAGACTAAACAAAAATGACATCCATGAGTTTAAGGAGAAACTCACTGATCAGGTCAAAGTGACCAGAAACGACATTTTGTGTTTATTTTTCTTGTTTGATGAAAGTGTGACCAACAGGACGTCTCAGCTCTGATTTAACCTGCCGGCAGGTCGAGCCGCTGCCTGGATGATCTGATTAGAGCGCCGTGCGTCTCTGCTTGAGGCCGCTGATGCTCGGGCCGTGGTTTCAGGCGTTGGGTGGAATAATTAAGGAAACGGCCATGGGTAACTTACTTAAAGCAAACTTTCCAGAACAGAAACTGACACGCAGCAGAGCTTTGAAAGAAACTAAACCAAAGTAACTGCTTTGAAGTCATCAGTTCTCGTGCCTCCTTCACTTCCTGCTCGTGTGAAAGAAGGAGAAAAATAGTCACAGACGTTTCTGGATCCCTGCACCGTGGGAGCAGCTGGTCTTGGTCTTCAGTGGTCTGCTTGTTCTCTGGCGTGGGCGTCTTTCTCCTTGGTTCTCGTGTGTTTCTGAACTTTTCCCCTCAGCTGAGCAGCGAGGAACGTCCTGCGTGGGCGTCACGTTGGGAAACCTCTCTGTGTGAACGCAGCCTGCCAGGTGAGCCGATTACATAATTCTGCTTCCAGGGCCATCCCGCCCTCCTGTCCTGGATCGGCCTCCACAGCACAGCCCTGTGGTGATCTCATTAGGGAGTTATTTTCAGTGCTTCTTTGGTTCTTCCTGCAGGACCTAAGAGGGTTACAGAGTCCTGAGGTTCGCTCGGTGCCTGCAGAGTCACGGCAGCCTGGATGTGGGCCACCTCGAGCCTCCGCCTGCAGCCTGATCGTCTTCTGTGGGGTTTCCTGTCCTGAGGAGGATCGCAGGACTGCAGACCGCCTTTAACAAGCAGCGCACCGGGCCTTGGTCTCCTCCGCCATGGGGAACCACGGCTCGACCCTGGACGACATCCTGGCAGAGGACATGCACCACTGGTACAACAAGTTCATGAAGGAGTCTCCGTCAGGCCTCATCACGCTGTTCGAGCTGAAGGCCATACTCAACCTGAAGGGCATGAACGAGGACGCCAACCGCTACGTGGAGCAGGTCTTCTTCACCTTCGACATGGACGGGGTGCGTTCCACGTCAGTTTGCCCAGCCTGTTCTTCCATGTTTATAGGACGCGGCTTCTGCAGGAAAGTAAAAGTAATCTGACAGCAGTGACACGTCGACGGGTTTAGAGCTGATTTGCTTTCCTGCACCTTATTAGACCAAAACATCTAATAATGACATATAACCTGTTATATCAGGCTGGTAGTATGACAGCTGGTTATGAGGCTTTGATATCAATTTGAGACGAGTGTTACTAAAGTGGGGTTAAAGGTCACATGAAAGCTCAGCTTAAAGAAAGAAAGACTCTACATGGGACGTGCTTTGAAATGAAAACGTCTGATTTATGAGAGAAAACTCGACCTACTGCTTGTAGGGCTGAGCTGAGAGCTCTGCAGCTTGTGAATCAGCCCGATCAATAATCAATAATGCTGACCGGGCTTTCCTTATTGATAAATCTGACTGTGGATACAGGATGTACCAAAACCAGTCATCAGATATCTAAAGGCTATGTTTTTAAAGTAGTGGACACAGAAGCTTGTGGTCGATGTTCACATACAAGGCTGAATATAAAGTTTTACACAGAAACCTGTTGACAGTGTGTCGCCTGGGCAGCTGTTGCTATGCGACCACATGAATCTTCAAATCAGAAATCCCTCGTTTTGAAATATTAACGTAGGTGATGGTGTAGTCGTGGTTACATGTAAGAGTCAGTCCGAATAAACTCCTAGAAACTCACAGCAGCCGTGCTATTGGTCACATGATGTCATCAAAGTGCCACCATCCACCTGTCAGTCACAGAGGCCACGCCTCTAATAACACCAACCTTAATTCTGAATGCAGTTTAAAAGTTCTCCACAGAGACCAGTTTGTGTATCAGGCTGCAAACATGTTTATTCTGCTGTTTAACACCAGATGAACTGCAGCTCCATGTTTCAGTCTGGAGGTTGATTCTTGTCAACATGAAACCAGACGTCAGCACATGTGAAATGTTGCTCATACTGTGAACACGAGTCTTTAAACTCAAAGCTTTCATGGAAACGTTAAAATCGCTCTGTGGTGCAGAGCGCTCGCTCGACCGGGAGAGGCAGGACTTCCTGCTCCATCAGCATGCAGAGCTGTGTGTGTGAGGATGCTGTGATCAGGTGAAGGGCAGCAGGAGATCTCCAGGTAAATGATCTCATGTACTAAAATTATTTTATTATTTTCTTAATATAGCACAAGGTTCAGTTCGCTTTGTCCTTTCTGACTCTGAGTACATTTCAGACTCGGTACTTTTTCACCCTTCAGCTTTTACCGCAGTATTTTTAAACCCGGGTATCTGTACTTCTGCCACCTCTGGATTAAAGGCTTCAGCCTGCAGCAACGACATGTGTAAAATATAAAGAGCAGGAGGCATTTTAACCATTTATTACAACAAGTAGTCCACATTTCAATAAAGCTGGAACTGGGTGGATGTTCAGGTGTAAGAGGTCCTCCCACAGAGGCCTGGAGGCATGAATGGTTGAGCTCTGTGTGGAGACTTTAGGAGGTGGTTTTATAATGTGGATGGTTGGTGGTTCGATCCTGGGCTCCTCCAACCTGCGTGGTGAAAAAAGCACTTTGAGTCCTCAAACTGAGCACCACGTGATGGACTGAAGCCGCAGTCTGACCAATCAGGAGCTGGGATTCAGTGTCAGATGATCGGTGAATGTGCAACCCAAGAATGCTGATGATTGTTAGTCTCATCTACGAGTTTTGCTGTTGTGGAAACTGGTCATAAAACCCCTGTAAGTATTACAGTAACATAAACCTACAGTTTTTAATGTGCAGAATTATTGCACAGCTGAACCACAGCATCAGACTCTCTGTCTGTCACGTTTGCTCTGCTTTGGTTTTGTGAAGCTGAACAAACGTCCATATTAAAACTGAGGTGTGAATCTTACAGGATGTCCCTGAACGCCCCCTCGCTGGTGCGGTTTTAACTCCCTGCTTCGTGTCTGCAGGATGGCTACATTAACTTTGTGGAGTACATCGCAGCCATCAGCCTGATGCTGAAGGGAGAAATCAACCAGAAACTG